GTGGGAGGAGGACGGGCTGTATGGGGTCGGAAGCGCTGCTGACCAGCACACTCTCACAACACATTACCTCTGTGGTTTGCCTGAGCTCCGCCGGTCCGGGTGCCGCAGCCTCGGATCTCCCTCCCCGCCGCCAGCCCCTCGCGCAGCTCCAGTGTAGCCTTCTCCTTCCAGGCAGAGCCACAGGTCCGTCCCCGGGATGGGAGCGCTCTGCTCCGGGCTGACCCTCTCCCTCCCAATGGGGAGCTGCTCTGTGTTCCCGCCTGGCTTGCAAGTGCCTGCTGCTCCCGAGCAGACGGCCGCGAGCTTTGTGGTTGTCTGTGCAGGGAGGCAGACGCTTGTACCGAGACAAATCCCGATCCCTTCTCCTTTCCTGACGTACGCACCGCAAGACAACGTCGTGCTGTAAAGGCCGGGTGTGCTGGGCACGAGGGAACATTACCAGTGCTGTGGTGCGTCTGTTCTCTAGTCCAAATCATTTCAGATCCTTTGTAGAATAGCTAGCGACTTCAGAAAGCTTTATGGCTTATGGGAACTTACTGTTTAATGTTGTTTTTTTTCCGGGAAGACTGGCAGGTCAGTTCCTGCTTGCTGCTGAAACTGGGGAAATGCAAGCAGCTTGTGTTTCTGCGTGACTCCTGCACAAAGGGAATCAGGACAACTCCCCAGAGCCATTGAGAGAGAAGATACTCTAAGGGCATTCATTAACTTTTTTAAACAAAATTTTAAAAAATGGTAATGAGGTTCAGTATATTAAGTATTTATCATGTGTGAGAAGGAAAATAAATCTTGAATTTACATTTATAGGCCTTCCCATGAGCTGGACTTAGTCATGTAGATTGTGTAAGTAGGGTTACCTCCATGCCAGCCGCCCAGCCAGCTACAGCTGTAACCAGAAAGGTATCTGCGCTGCTCTGTCCACCTCCGCTTCGCATTGTCACGTGGTAACTAGTTACTTGTTTCATGAAAAATAAACTGTGAATATTTTTGGTGCAGGCTTTTTTAAATCTGTAAAATGGAGAAGTTCTCAGTGAATTCTCGCAAGTGCAGGTTTGAAAAAAATCACGTCTATAAATCGTGCGCTCACGTGGTAGGGTGAGGTTCACGGCGGCAGCAGCCTTTCATGCAGCAGGCTCTTGCCTAAAAGCTTGTTTTGAACAGTGAACGTGGATTGAACCGTTGCATGGCATTTCAAAACCACAGCCTTACTCCTTGCATCTGCCTGTACCCCACCTCTCTTCTTGTCTCCCTTCATGCCTTTTCCACGAGGATCCAGGTTTCTGGCTTGCTACCTTCCAGCTCCTGTCGGAAAGTTGACTTCAGCATAGCTGGGAGGCTGCTCAGTAAGACTGGCGTTTGGAAGCATCATTGAAGGAGCTGCCAGCGAGCTGCTCTTCCCTCCTCGCCCTCGCTGGGGCCCTGGGCGATGCTCTGTAGATCAGGAGGGCTTTTCAGGTGTACATGGGGCTTGCAGAGGGAGTAGGGGTGCTGTTAGGAATGTCTGGCTGTGCTGGGTCAGCTCAGCAAGACTGGCAAGGCCTGGCCAGGCTGGAGATAGGTCCTGGCAGCCCTGCCCTGCCCAGCCTGCCTGTGTGAGGGAGGATGTGCACAGGCTGAGAAGCAGCTCCAGGCCACAAAACCCTCCTGAAGGAAGTGTGGGCTTCTTCAGCACTTGAGGTGACTCTCACTGTTGGTGGCAGCTGGTAGCACTGCCTTGGAGGAGGAGAAGGAGATGTCTGTAGAGAAGCAGTTGGGTTCACTTTCTGTAGTTCGTTGCTGCCTTCAGAGTTCAGCCAGTTCGAATCACTGGGGTTTTTTAAGGTTGAGGACAGGGGCGGGTAACACGTACCCCTGGCAGACCGCTCCTGCAGCCCTTGCGCTGGGCTCCGCCAGCTTGGCTGCAGCTCCGTGGCCAAGGCCATGGTGCTTTTTTGCTGCACTGGGAGGGATCTGATCACCTGGCCACTAACAAGTCTCGGGTCAGCCGTAATTGTACCCAAGGTGGGCAAGAGGTGAGTCTTGTGTTGACTCACTGCTGTGAAGAGTTGTAGACCCACTTCACTGGTGGGTTTCCATGGTGGGCAGCAGAGTCCCAGCCGCGATGCAGGAGCTCTGGTGGGGGGTGACAGCGTGGTCTGGGTCTGCTCACCCAGGCAGGAGGGTTGCAGAGGGGGAGCCACCACGGGACGGGTGGGCAGGAGGGCAGCGGGCACTGGCCACTGTCCTACGTGGCT